GGTGATTACAAGCGGTAATATTTTTTTAAAGGCGATCAACCATTTGACAATGATGCTTAAATATTCTAGAGTCGTCGGAGCTCGAACCTAAGACCTCTAAAGATAACAATCATTCATTTAACCACTGAAATCGCTTGTACAATTATATAGGTGTACCTGAATCAATATAAAAGTTTTATATGTATAGTTGAACTAACATCAAAATCTTCATATATAGAATTATACTAAATGAATTGTTTAAAAATATATATTAAATCAAATTTTATGGATCACATTACATATTTGATCAAAATATTGATATTTAGCCCTTTTGTAGAAATCCAACACAATTACAAACTTGTTAATATTTTCTTTATAATATAATATTTTGGGTAAATTACAAATTTGGTAACTGAATTTACTCTTCTCCTATTTCACTCATTGTACTTTAAATCTTTTTAATTTCCTCATTGAACTTAATATATTGGGTTTTGTTGGTCGCTTAGTTGTTTCCTCACTAAAGGCGTTATGCCATGGCTTTTTTGTTGTTAACAAAGGAGTGAACAAAACAATTCAATGCACGAGTGATTAAATTGAAAATAATTAAAAGTATATTGAGTCAAATAAGAGTGAGTAAAGTGTAGTGATTAAATTTGTAATTTACCCATTAAAAATAAAATAAAATAAGTCATATCATAACCTCGTTAGTAAGTAAACGATTGAGTAACAAAAAAACCTATTGTGAATGAATAATATTCAATTACCAAACTTGTTTGTACTTTACCCTAATTATATGTGAATGTAATATCAATTAAGGGTAAACTATTAAATTAATCACTTTCCTTTTTATATTTGTAAACTTTTTCCATTAATTTAAAAAAAAATTAAATTTTATTACTTATGTTATTAATTTATTAAATTTTGTCCACTTACGTTATCGATTGTTACATTTTGGTCACTACGTCATTATTTCTTGTTAGTTTAATAATGTGTCACGTTAGTCAAAAGAGCTTAAATTTTAATTTGACTAATGAACTTTAAATAGATTACTAATTTGATCTTAAACTCTAGATGAAATATCATTTTGACTTCTAAATTTTATATAAAATATCAAATTGACCCCTAAATTCAACTAGAGTCTCCCATCATCCGTCGTCACTCAACACCATCATTGCTAATCGGCGTATGCCGCTATCTTCGATGACCATTGGACCTCAAAATTTTTAGTTCACTCATTTTTTGACTTCTGAATATGAATCAAGTTTTTGTTTCACCTGAACATACTCTGAACTCAACAAATCTAGCTTATAACCTTTCAACTTCCTTTAAAATTAAACTATAATCATAAATTTATAATTCTTTTTTGAAAGGGATGAGAATTCATTTAAGATAAGAATCATAAATTTATAATTACCATTCTTTTAAAATAAGAAAAAAACATACTTTTAAATCTATATCGTAATCAAATTCATACTTTTTTTGTTTATAATATAATTATGTTGTAATTTTTTAGTTACATTTATTAAGCATAAAATAAAGGGTAAATTAGACGTTTAATTTCTAAACTATTACATTTGTCTTGTTTTGGTACCTAAACTTCTCAAAATCATACGCAACACTTAGTTTAGGTTTCATTTTGATACTTCCCATTAAAAACTTAGCGATCATATCGATGTGTCACTATACGATAATGTCATGTCATCATTGAAAAAAATAAAAAAAAAATCACGTCAGCGGTTTTGTTAATTTTGTAGCAACGAATTCCAAATTGAAACATAAATTAAATGTTAGATACAATTTTGAAAAAAAAATAAAGTTTGAGTATCAAAATAAAACAAAATTAATAATTTAAGTACTGAAACGTATAGTTTACCCTAAAGTAAATTAATGAGAATAAAGAGGAATTTCAATGAAAAATTTTATGCAATTAAATTTTGGCTCGAGATCGTTTGGAAAATAGTAGCTCAACATAAATTTTGCCCGTCTCTCCTATTCGTCACGGGTTCGAGTACCAACGACTACAGTAGGGTGATTCAGCGTTCATTGTTAAATGATTAAAGAGTATTTAGAACAAATATCAGCATCGTTGACAGTACCCTTATAAACCTAAGCTAGAAACCAAACTCCTTAAACTCTCGTAATCCCGAATCATTAAACACTCATTGAACTTAGGTCATCAATAAACCTCCTCAAATAAGTTTACAAGAGCAAGGGTAAGCGTTTAGAGCAACGTGCGACGTCGGGTGTGTATTGGTTTTAATAGGCGGAAGCATTTAGGGAAAATGAGGCGAATGTCTTACCTAAAGTGTTGTTGGTAGGGTTTAAATAGCGGTCTGCGACCGCGATAGCGCCCGTGAATAGTGGTAGCGTTGCCGTCCGATATACCGCTATGGTCGCAGTAGCTCCCGCTATGACCGCAATCGCGTTTAAACTCGACATGACCGAAAACACGACCAAGACCGTGATTTGAATCCCACTTGTTGGTGACTGACAACAGATTTCATACCCAGTGGATTAGGGCAAGATGGCGATGCAAACGACAACAATCGTAGACCATTGTGTATCGATGTTTGTTGAGTCTTTTGACGACAAAAGGGTTGAGCAAGGGAATAAGAAGTGGTTAAGGGTGAGGATAAGGTACGAGGGTTATGATTTGGGGGTGGGATCATCGACGAGATATTGTCTACAGGTGTGAAGGTGAGGATAGGGTGGATATCGTAATTTGGGGTTTAGCATTTGAGACATGATTTAGAGGTTTAAGGTATAAATTTGGGTTTAGAGTTAGAACCTAAATTTTAATGACATGGTCCAAGGGAATACTAATAAAACAATTAATCTCATCGTAGAGTGATCAAAATAGGAATAATTCAAAAATTAAGTGATTGAATTTAAAAGTTTTAAAGTTTGGGCTTCATCGATCGAAAGATGTGACAACATGTGACTGTAGACGCGACAGTCGACGAGCCATCCTTTAAGTTTTTAACGACAGGAGAATTAAAATGAAACAAAAACTAATGTTATGTATGATTTTGAAAATTTTGAAAGTTTAGGTACTAAAACATATCAAAACTGATAGTTTATGTACTAAATGCGTAATTTATCCTAAAAAATAACAATTGATAAATTTAATAATTATTTAATAATAATTTAATATAATTTTTTAATTAAATGGACAATTAAAGTGATTTTGGATTGAGACATTTTAGAGGACAAAAGCGACCATATGATTATAGATGCACGTAGTTGGATTTAAATTCGATCGGATCGGATAAAAATTGATCCGGTTTTTTTACCAAGCCAAAAACTGGTTTATAAAAAAACCGGTTCGGATCATAATCGGTTTGGAGGGCGGATGATGTAACCGGTATAATCGGTTTCAGTTTGAAAAAAAACAGTTTTTAATCTGGTAAAAAATCCAGTCATCCAATTTTTTAAACCCCAGACCGGATTTTTTTCCGGATAAAAAACCAGTTTTTTATTCAATTTTTTTCAAATCGGTTTTTAATCCGGTAAAAAATCCGATCGTTCAATTTTTTCCCAAATCGATTATACTATCCGATTTTAAAATATCCGATCTATTTTATAAAAATTGGTTTTTTCCAAATCTGATTTTAGATATTTTTACGTAAAATTGGTGTTATATAATATGGTTTAAATGTATCCATCAATTCGGGAGACTATTTGTATGCCATAAAGGAATCTTGTAGGGTCCCCTAACTCAGACTGTCGAGTTGCTTTGGACATTTGGCACCTTCTCCAACCTTATATTATAAATTAAATGTTAAATTAAATAATTTTATAATATTTTCGTATGGTACTTTTTTCTAAAAATAATATAAAATTGCTATCAAATCAAGAATTTTATCATATTTTTATAAATAATGTAAAATTTATCTTAAATCAATAAGGGATTTTATGTATTTTCAAAACATTGAGAATTTAAGCTAATAGAAAATGAGCATTAAAGAAATTAGAAGAGAGAAAAATGGGTATTAAAGAGATTTGAAGTGTAACATATCTCATCATTTTGTTAAGTAAAGATTATTGTCTTCGTAAAGATTCTGGATTTGAATAGTTATGTTATAGACCGTGTATATTATCATTAATGATTAAGTTTATTCGACATAAAAAAGAGAAAATAGCATATATAATGTATATTTAATAGGGATGGGCATGGATAGGGTTGGGTCAGATTTTTGGTCCACCCGACCCGAGAACAAGGGATCCTCTACCTGAAACCAGACCCGACCAAAATAAGATTTCACCCGACCGAACTCGACCCAATATATAACTTAAAACTCAACCAACCCGACCCATAAATAATAAAAAATATTTTAATTCAATAAAAATAGTGACTTAATTAGAAAAAAATTATATACAGAGGGATATTATTGTAATTATTCTAAATGTATAAGGTAAAATTATATTTTTTTCCGGGTCAGGTATTTTTCACCCTAAACCCAAATTTTTTTGTAATAGAAAAAGGCAAAATAATGTTCGACTGATCCTACGGTTGTGCTTACTGTTGTGATCATTTGTTGTTGTATCTTGAGAGACCGATGTCCAACGTTACTCAAAGCACCTAGGAGATGACGAATCCGTCTTAAGGAAACTGTTTACACATGCCTCAATAAAAAAAATTTCCTTCGGTTTATCTTACTCTACTCATCTGAATCAGTGTCTACACATGAATAACAAGTTTCGTTCTTCTATTTTAATTCATTATAATTATTTCAGGCTGGAACAACTCACTAGTCAAAAGACAATAGATACCATTGATCATATAAAATTCATCAATAAGACCGAACTACGGTACTCAAACTCGGGTATAAATATCAGATACGAGTATATATCCGACACGAAGAACCAACGAATCAAACTTATATGCTTCCATTGATGAAGAATAGACAAGTTTCCGTAAACCGGTCGCATGCCGTATATAGATATCGGAAAAGAAAGCTTCTTCAAAAGCTAGAATACCTGTTGCGTGGAACAAAAGCTAAAGCACAATGCACATAGTGAACTTCTCAGATGGAGCATTTCATTCATGGCACATAACTCTTTCCTCTGTTTTCCCGCTCTTTTCCCCGACACGACGATGCTTGAACTCGAAGAAACATATAAAGATTCAACTCAAATTGAAGCAACAGATCTTGCAGAAGGCAATGACTGCATTGCAAAACAGGCTATATACGTACAGAGCAGTGCACAACAACAAAAAATACATAAGCTTGTCACACAAGTTAGTGACGACCATCACAAGCTAACTATATATAAGTTCTGTCAATTAAATCTTATCGAATCGATTGTCCTTCTCTACGATAACATCGATTTTCTCGTATCTGGTCTCTTCGGAACTCGCTTGATTCTCGATCGGGAAGACCCTGTGCCTGCTAATTAAAATTGCCCACATAAACAGGATCATGAACGCGAACAAGGCTCCGCATCCGGTACCGAAAATCAACCCTGCTAAGAATGTCAATGCAAAAAATTCACTTTCCCCTGATCTAAATTCATCAGTATCCTTATCGACAATTCGGCGTGGATCTGCGGAAACGAATGCATCGAACTCGAAGCATGCCTAACCCTAAACCTCCATGAATAAACATTGCTGCTGCTGCTACCATGTGAATTAAATTCATCAATGTTACTTGATATTATACCAACATAAACATCCTTATCACCCCACATTTCCAACAAATCGACCCGATACGCTAGAATCGGATCGAAAGGTCGTTTTTCGTCCGATTTACTCAATCGAATTTGTAAGATCTTAGAGGCTGAATCATAATCAACCCAAGATTTCAATGGTTCACCATTGTTCAACACCAGATTCAAAGATAACAAATCACAAACTTTAACAGATTCAAGGCTTCCCACATCGATTCCAACACGATTTTCATTAAATTCAATACCCAGAAACAAATTTTCACCAAAAACACCAAATGATCCTTGATCATTAAACCTATTATGAAACCCACCAGACACAAACACCAAAGCTAAATCATCAGCATCACCAGGAGACAACGAGAACGAAAACTCGGTCGAAAACGACATCGGTTTACCCACATTGCTTTCTTCCACGAACCTGAAGGGTTTGTCCAGCAACAAAAGCCCGGAACTCGGAGCGTGGCGGCGCGTGAGATAAACAGTCGCGGTTCCGTTATCGACCCTGGCGTCGCCGAAGAGGGAAATGTTGGGATCGAAGTTCGGGTTGTTTTCGAGGGCGAAAATGGGAATGGGTTTTGCTGTAAAGAGTAGGAAGATGAAGATTTGGAGAATAACAGAGAAAGGGTAGATTTGAATGGAAAATGTTGCCATTCTTGTTAACATTTTTCTCAGATTTTTGCTGATTTTTTTGGGGGAAGGGTGGGGGGAGTTTATAAGGGATCCGAAGTCTTTGGATTTCAACATTCAAGGGTAAAAAGGCTACATTTTTGGATTATGGAACTGCTTTGAACGACTAAATCTTGTTTTTATTATGGAATTTTAACTTTTTTGAGTTTTGCAAATGAAGGCTTATTTTGGTTTAATCAGAATTCTTGTTTCCGTCCCTCCACTATGCTGAAATTTTGAGTTTAATCCAACTAATCTCACATAGTTTGCTTTTGGGTTAAATATGCTAAGGGTCTCTATACTAATTAAAACTTAAAATTTAATCTTCATACTTTACTTTTACGACATGCGATCCACGGCAACAAATGGGCTTCGATTGCAAAACTCTTGCCCGGTAGAACTGATAATGCAATTATGAACCATTGGAATTCTAACTTAAGACGCCGGTGCATGGAACTGCATAGGTTTAAACCCGGACCGGCTGATACGATGGACGATGGCAGCCTTGAGAGATCAAAAGCTTCATCAGAGGAAACACTGTCGGCTGGAGATATAAACCACTTCAGGCCTCAAGAAGGAAGAGATGTGGTGATGGGCGATTGACCGAATTTTCAAGAAGACAAACCACCGATACAAGAGGATCAAACTGCCGTTGAACCGAAGGAACATCCTACCATTTGTTGTCCAGTTGCCCATCTTAGTGCATTCAGCCGATATAATGCTCCTAGCAGTTCTAAAATGGAGTCCAGAATGACGAATAGAATCCCGATGCAAGGGCCTCTAGCTCAATCATACAGGGCAGACTGGGGAGTCGGGAAAATCCTAGAAGATATTCGCTGTGAACCGTCATTCCCTTGCGATGTGATTCGGTTACTGCTCAACTCCATGTGGGGGTCATCCTCAGAGTTCGTTGTTGGGGCCAGAGTTCCTCGACTACGAGGAGCCCCCTGTTTTTTCAAGCCATGAACTAATCTCCATAGCAACCGATATAAACAACATTGCATGGATAAAGAGTGGTCTAGAGAACAATAGTGTTAGGATACAAGCAATGCAACAAGCAGAGAATGTCTCAAGGAGCTACTCCTTGCATGCAAATAGGGGTATCAGACCCCGTGCACTTCAATGACGGACCAAGCAGGTTAACAGGCATGTCGAAGGAAGTTATGCCGACGGAGATGCCAAACAAATGTGTACGATGCTATCCGAGGTGGAGGGTTTGAGCTAAAGATTATGATTCTATATAGAAAGACTGATCATATTGTTAGATTTTTTTTAATGTTGTCTCATATTGGAGGGTTTAGGGTATAGGATGATATGTTGTCTTTTTGATTATGCAAATTGATCTTGTGCCAAAGAGATCATGAATTTTAATGTGATGATTGTTCGTTTTATCTCTTAATCATATGATTAGAATCATTATTGTCGATAATGAAATATTCGACAATGTATATTTAAACTTAAATTCAAGAAGGATTGTCGATCTTCTTGTCGGAAATTCGATGACTTCTCTGTGTTTAACACCAATAACATGAAGATTCAAAATCTGGGTCTTGATAAAAATTGAAGCTTTAACAAAACAACCCCAAGGAGTAGCCATTGATGTTGATGAAACATGTAACGAGGAACAAGAAAACGGATTGTCGATCTTCTTGTCGCTCGGACTGTTGTTGCTGTTGCAATTGATATCGACACGACTGAGCCGTACGATTCCACATCAGCAGCAACAGAAACAACAACAGCTTCTACTGCCATTTGTGCTGCCGGAACTTCTGGCTAGGCCATCGGTTTCTAAATTTCCTGCTTGTATGTATGGTTTTTGCCTTTGTAATCTCTTGGCTCTTCCACTTCAATGTACCATATTGAGAAACCCCATATCCAAGTATCCGAGCTTCCGGCACTCATTCCGGCTACGATAGTTGAGGCGTGCCCCGGTGAGCTTCTCGGTGTACAATCATATTATATATTCAGTTCGTCACGTTAGTTAAATCCGAAAGTCTGGTGTCTATAATATTAGTATCAAATGGCTTGAACAACAAGCAATTTGACGAAACTCTGATATATATTTGCATATTGCAGTATCTTTACAACAGTCCTTTGTGTTCTTGAATGCGAAAAGGCAAGAAGTTGCTTAGTTTTATTCAAGTCTCCGATTCATTAATCGATTGATTTAAATCAAATACTATAGAGAGCTACAAAATACGTAAAATTTTGTAGTATTAATATTTACAAATTAATATTACGTGGAATCGAATTCAAAACAAATCATCGTCATCCGAGGAGGATTCATCGTCACATTCTTCAACATCGATGGTAACAACTTTGGAACCATTAACCATATTAGATTGATCATGTCGAACTCTGAACGGCAACCTCGTGTTGCTCGATAATGTCTCGAACCCTTCCTCTTTTTCTTCAGATCGCCGGGAGGCAAAAAGCAATCCATCGACAATCCTTTGATGTTAAAGTCGATTTCTTCGATCGTCCACACCTCTTCCATCCTCGTCCTCGAATGGCTCTCCGAGTTCTCCCCGAATCGGAACAACGAGACACGAGTCTTGCCAGCGTGTGCGATGTTTACACCGTCCACGGTTCTATAGTCTTGGATCGAGGATTCCATCGATGTTTCCCAAAAGACGCCGTCGGAACAGGGAGATTTTATTCGCAGTAGATGGGAGTCTTCGAGTTGGATTAGGAGGCCGGTTCTTTGACTGAAGCAACCCCAGATAGCGTGGCGGATGATCTCTACGTTGCTGCTGCTTCTAGCTCTCAGGGTTGATGGCTCTGCCTCTAGTTTTAGGATGAAACAATCATCGTCGTCGATTGTTTTTTCGCCGATGCAAATCGAGTTCGTGAACAAATTTGCCGTCGATCTCGGATCAAGACCCTAGGAATTTGAATGAAATGATCGTTAGTTCACGATAAAGCAATCGCATCTTTAAGAAATATTGTCGTAACGTCGAAAATAACCGTGACCGGTTACCTGTAGGAAACGCCGGAGAGGCCTAGGGGGACCTCTAGAAGCATGAGAACGGTGCCACGGTGTCTGCCTCCAAGCCACTTTTCCGTCACTGCCGGCGCTGATTTTGCAACCGGAAACCACCAGTTCCAGACACCAGAGCTCCGGCCGTTTCTGCCATAAAACGAAACCACCCACCTCTCCGCCGCCTTGCCTCAAGTTCCTCACCTTAACGATCTTGTTGTTCACACTGCCTTCTCCGGCACTGAACTCCGAAGCCGCCATTCTCACTTTCCCCATCGCATACATACTGTCCAGCGCGCCCAACGCCTTCTCCCCGCCGACCGCCGCAATGTACTGCTTCACTATGTATTTCGCCATCGAAGATTCCTGTAATAAAACAAACCCAAATCCATAAGCACAACGCCATCATAATCTGATGATAATAAAGTTCAAATTTTTTACTTACAATCGGATGATCCTTGATGTTTCTGGCGATGGGATGGTCATCGGTGTTAGGGTTTATAGGGAGAGGAATCAACGGGGCGCCGATGACACCTAGCAGGAGCTGAATCTCGGTGTTCGTCGTACCGGAAACAGCCACCATGGAATGTCTTTGGTCGGGGTTCTGCTTCATGTTCATCCATGATTTCATGTTCTGCTGCCATGAACGCCGATGGTGATGATGAGTCGTCTTTTTGGGAACAAACATTTCTTCTGGGATTGGTACTTCGAGGACAGTGTCCAACGCATCTGGGATGTCGTGATTTGGACAAAGTTTCCTCATCAAATCAAAGGGTTTTGCTTTTTTTTCCCCTGCACTGAAAGAGAGGAGATTTGGTAGAGTATAGTGAAGAAGAAGAGAGGATTGGGCTGAAAGGGGGAGAGATAAACGAGAGAGGAGAAGCTGGTGAGGAATGAACATCAACGACCGACCAGTTGGAGTGTTGGACCCTTTGTAACTGGTACGCTTTTGTCACTGTCGTGTTTGCACGCCTTGTCTCTCTCTCTCTCTTCCTCTGTTTCAAGCAAATATATATATTAGATATATGCTTTGTCAAATCTTGGTTAATCAAATAGTGATCTATATTGTGTTGTCTTTTTTGTTTGCTAACTCCATCCCCATGTTATATTAAGCAATAAAACTTGGGGTAAACTACACATTTATAGCTTAAACTATCGTTTTATATCCGTTTTTATTTTTTTTAAATTATATTAATGTTTAATTTTTATTTCGTTTTAGTATCAACGTTAAAAACTTAACGCGTGTAGTACCTAAACTATCAATTTTAATATATTTTAGTACTTAAACTTTCAATATTTTTCAAAACTAACTTTAAATTTTGAATGTGGTACTAAAATGAGAAAAAAAACTAAATGTTAGGTATGTTTTTGAAAATTAAAAGTTTAAATACTAAAATAGACCGAAACTGATAATTTATGTACTAAACGTGTATTTTACCATTAAACTTAAGAGTAAATCATATATATGACTACTTAATTATGAAGGGATTTTTATTTAATTTGATCACCGATCTTTTTTTTTTAATAATTAGGGTGCTTACGTGTGGTAGCATCTGTTATAACGACTCTCAATCATTTGATAATGAATGCTCAAATACCTGACAATTTATGTGCTCGAACCTGTAACCTATAGGAATAACAATCATTCCTTTAATCAATAAGGTAACTTGGTTGATGATCATCGTTATTTTAATTTTATCAATAAAATCACTTATGAATTTAAATTATAATAATCAAGTCACATGTCGTTAACATTTGATAGTAGAGCTGATGTGATAGTTAACAAAATTAGTATAATTACCCATTCAATTCTTATTACTTATACATTCTATCAATTTGGTATTGATTTTAAATAATTATATATGATTAGAGGATTAAATTTATTGAATTAATTTAAAGGTAAGACCAACTTGATAGAATATGTAAGTAATAAGAACTAAATGTATAATTATACCAAACTCTTTACTTGTCACGTCCGTCAAATGTTGTCAGCAAGTGGCTTAATTGTCATCATTTTAATTAGTAAGTGATTTGATTATCAAAATTAATAGACCG